TATCACCTTGTGGGGTCCAAAAAATCGATTTTTTTTTTTTTGTCTTATCGTGTAGATATATGTTCCAAAAATGTGCTGTAAAAGTTTCAGATCGAAATCTGAAAAATTTCGAAAGTTATAGCCCGTTACATAGAGCACTGTCGAGCACCTGCCGAGCGCGCCAAAACTTTAAACGCGTTTTTCTCAGAACCATGTTTTTGGACCTTACGTGCAGGATTAAAGACGCTACAATGAACCAATCGTCACCAAATTTTTTTAAAAATGTTCCTTAGGGTTTTTTCTAACAAATGACCCGTGACCAGCCAAAAATATTGGAAATTGTTTATTTAAAAAAATAATCAGTACAGAAAAAAATGCGAAAATTGACATTTTTTTTTCAAAACCTCATAACTTTTGGAATTTTGATTTTTTTTTCATGATAGAGGGTCATTTGATAGATGATACGATACTAATTAAGAATGTGTTCGGTTTTTTTGTTTCAGATCACGGGTTCTCAGCCAATCCTGCACGGGAGCAAAATGCATGCCGCCACCAATGGGCGCCCCCTCCCCCCCCCTTTTTGGATTTTTTCAAGTTCAAAATTTGTATTCTTTGAATAAATATATGTTTATATTCTGACGAAAATTTCAGCGCTGTATCTTTAACCGTTTTCTCAAAAAAAATTCCTAAAAAAAGAGCACTTTTTGACCCCACAAGGTGATAAGGTGCCTTAAATAAAATTGATTTTAAATAAGATACTTTAAAAGGCTCAGAAAAGTGTCTAAAATGTATAGTTAAGAAAGTATACTATTATCTTTAGAAGGGGGTTTATGAGTAGCATATGGAAATAGTTATACCTCCTTCGACTCTTCAATTACAGGGTATCCCAAATGAAGCCTGTAGTTCGCTTTGGTCTTGGGGCTTTGCTCCAGCGCACGTGCCAAGGCAGAAACGCGGCTTTTGCGCAGGCGCAGACCCCAGCTTGATGCCAGAAATCAGAGAAAAAAAATCAAATTCAACTCTGACGATGATGACGATGGCCAAAACAGTTGTGGAACAGTTGTACTTCGTTGTTGCCTCTGGCTTTGGTCATTTGTTGGAAAAACGCCCAGACAAGATTCAAAAAACCAGGCAACTAAAGCGGTTAGTGATGGTTCTCTTATGAAATTTATATTCTTACCAGTTTCTGTAGTTGCTCTCTAAATAGTCCCTAAAAATATTACTTAATTTAGTTAAGTGCTTCATAGATAAGGAATCAATAATTACATAATTAAAAGAAAAGCATTTACTTGACCATTTTAAACTTTTTCAACCCATTTGGTTCCAAAAACCAACTCCATCTCCAACCATGACTCGTTTGTTGCTAAAGGCAAGAAAGAAAACGAAGCTTTGGGGCTTCCAAGAGTAAAAGTCATTTATTTTATTTAGATTTGTCAGACATTTGTGGGCTCTGTTTGCCGGTGTGCATCGTTTTTAATTAAAAAACATTCGAAGAAACAAAATATCTTGGCTACTTGGACTCGTGCCCACGAAGGTGCCTAAAGTGGGCGTTTTTCTTCTTGAAAGGGGCGTTTGTAGCCACCAGAGAGCTTCTTCTTGGCCAGACATTGTAATTGTGGATCATGATGGTATTGAAGATGATGATTCAGCTGATTTGGACTGTCTGGAATATTTATGGCTTGTGCCAGCCGTCTTCAGCTAGAGAAACTTTGTGCCCAAAGCTGAACTTTATTCTTGCCCCTATCTCGAAGGCATCTCGGAAACTCGACTTATCTCTGATGGGTGCTACTGAAAATTTGTTTCTTTTTGTTGTTTGATTTGATTTCCATAGAAATTGGATTTTTTGGAGCCGGCCAGCACGTGCTCCCCGCTTCCATTTGCAGGTGGTGCTCCACGAAAGAACCTCTTGGCCACTTCTTGGCCACGTTCTGATCTTTGGCTGTCAGCAGCGCCCACGCCAATTGATCCCCATGCCTTTGTGTTGTCTCGGTAACTGTGTCAGCAATTAGTTTCAGACTTTATTTATGGTCTCCATTTGCCATTTGCCTGTTAAATTAATTAAACAAAGCCATAAACGTACATTGTAACCATAAAGCAATTCGATGTTTTGGAAATAGGTACAAGGTTACAGCTGGGGATGTGGGTAATGGCATTAGAAAGGATAGTGGAGCTTAAAAAGGGTTTTCTAAAAAGTCTAGATCATGATATTAGATATACTTTAGAGAATAATTATCTAAAAAGTTGAAGCTCCCTATAAATATTTCTTGAAGCTACAAAATCAGACCATTTTATTCACACAATCACTCTGTAAGCCGAGTGTCAACGACCAGCTCAGAGTGTTTATAACTATCTTTTCAACACCGATCGAGCAATTGTGCAGAACAAAGAGCTCTCCAGAGCCCGGCCAGCGGAAAACAAATTCATTACCAAAAGACCTGAGCCCCATCGACCCACCGAGGCACATTAGTCATCTGTGAGAGGCACGACACGAGAGGCGAACCAATCGACTACAATATACTTATCGCGCCTATAAAATCAATCAACTTTTAATAAAAAAATAAAAATGGAAACGAGTAACAATACAAGCAATAAAGAGCTGCTGGAAAAGGAGTTCAGTTTCCGCACATGTGGAGCAGATCGGAGCAGACCAGTGACTCATGGAGTGGTCAAGTCGAGAACGAACCGTGCCCCAACCGAAAACCATAAATAAGCTCAAATATAAATAATTTTTAGCTCCTCCCGGCACGCCTCTGGCCTATCTTCCCGACATTTTGCTTATTTGCCCATTCGGTTTTGTTTATACAATAAATCTACCTGGCCAAGAGCCTCTGCAAAATCTAACAAAGCAAAAGACAGGCCGGAAAGCGGGACTAGATTCCCTTGATCGAGACTTGATATACCCTGACATTTAATTAATTATTTAATTAATATTTTTAAATAGATGAGTGAGGCTGTTTTCCTAACTAAACATCTAATAAGCTTTGAAATAAATTTATTTAATACCTAGTATTCGTTCATTTCGTTCATCTAGGGTATCTGCAAAAACAAGGAAGATGACTGGAAGTTTTAGACCAGAATGGGCATGGACCTAAAGCCAACTACCTGCAGTCCGTGAGTCACCAAAGCAAATCTTGCAGTTTTGGTCCAAAAGTTAAATGATCAACAATCAACGAGGCTTGATATGATTAGCAAGTCCCTCAGACGATCTTTTGGGCCACGTTTCCAGGTAGTTAGAAACCTCGGCCCTGATGTCTGGCCCGAAAGGCCAGGTTCAAGCTCTTCACTCTGTACATGGGAGCTTTTTTTTTGCAGGTCGTGCCGACGTCTGGATTGTCTACTATGTGACTCATCCCAGATCAGGCCAGATCGTAACCACCTCCAACCCGACATCCCCTCTGGACTTTTGTTACACGACAACAGCGACGGCTTCTTCTCGACGGCGGTTTCGGTTTTTGTTTTTAATGCGAAAATGGTGTTTCTGTTGGCGTCTTTAGTTGTCAATGCGGTTCGAGGGCGATTTAGTCAGAAACGAGAAAATTATGAGCTCAATTGACTGCGGAATGGGCTCAGTAGTCGCTAAATTTCTTAATTAAATAGGTGCGATGGCAGAGTGCTAAGCCCATAAAATGGTATAAATTATTTCCGCGATTGAAAGTTTAGGATAAAGGCGAGATTATGCATTTTTTCGCAGCCCTTTACTATTTTTAGACATTTATTGCATTGATGCTGATAGATTCATGGAGCAATTGCAATTTCAAGACAGATCTTCTGGCTGTCAAATTAAATTTTCCGCCATGGCGCGATGCTTTATTTTTAGCTTTCATTTTTCCAGTTCGTTTGCATCGCACGCACATGGGCGAATGCAATTTTATGCAAAAATCTACATACGTTCATAGAAAATATTCACTCTCAATGAATCGGAGGTGTGAAATGTTTGCTGTGAAATGTTTGGCAAAATGTGACTCTCAAAGCGGAGGCGTTCCCAAATGCTGGCTAAAAATATTCAAAAACCGCTTTGTGAAAAGCGCATATTGTTTATTTTCGAGGGCGGTGTGTGAACAGTTTTATATTAAAATTTTGAATTTCATAGACTCTGAAAATTTGTAAACTTCAATCAAAAAAGTACCCTGTACAAAACATAAATTAAAGTGATAAATCCGAGAACCATTCGATTGCCACTCAACGCATGTTTTTCTGTCGGGCATTTGTCAATATTTAATTGGCAGCCGTGCAGGTTGGCCAAGTCGCCACCTCGAAGTCGTAAATAAAAATCGACACTCATGCCAAGGATGTCAACTTCTTGAACAATTGCAAGTGCAAATTAATTCTAGCTTTTATTTTTTTTAATTTTTGGTAATAATATTGGCACTACTTGTCTATATATTCTATGGGTTTAGACCTTCAAAAAGTATCTGTTTTTATTAAATCATTGCCATCCCTATTGGAAAATTTGATGTCTTGTATCAATTATAGCAATTAGCAAAGCTCCATCTTCATATAAAATATCTGATAAAGTTAATTTTATTGCCCTTGTTCAATTGCAGTTTATAGTCTTTTTTAATGTGTTTTGATTTATGTCTGATCTGGTAATTTTTATTGTCCTCTGTCTAAGATTTGCTTTTCTATTTTGTAGTATTTGTGTAAAAGATATTGTCTCTTTGTTTAAATATTTTTCTTAAATTAAATTAAAGCGAGTCGCGGAATATCCTCAGTCCCAGTGATGTCATTTAATTGTGACAACGATGACCCACTTTCACTGCCGAGGGAATGTGAACAGCTGTCAGGCATACGGTGAAATATTGGACATCCCTTGAGACATGACCAGTGCCGATAATCCACGAGTCGGGGTACAGGAGGCGGAGGCCACAGACTCCTCCCATCACTCATCCAACTGGAAACCAAACAAAAGACGAGAAAAGGCGGCCACCGGCAAACATGGAGAACACTCGTACTTCCGATTTCGCAGATTGCAATAATGAGACAACAGATCGCCCACACACAAAGCATCAAAGACAAAAGAATTCTTGCTCAATCGATACATATTTTATTTTAGACGAGCATTTAGGCTACGAGCATCAGAAAACATAAAATAAGTAACTGGGATAATGCCACGAACATGGAGATGTCATCTTATCCTCACAGGCAATTTCGAAAAATTGTGCTAGTACGTAAAGTGAAAAACCCTTAACCCACTGACCAGCAATATTCCCTGGGATTAGTGGATCATGTCTTGCCATATTGACAACCTCAGCAGGTAGACCATTTATGTTCCTGACTTGTATAATACCGGAATTTGGAATACGTTCAAGCTGGAAAATTAGGAATTAAATGATATAAGTAAAAATTCAAAAAATTATATCAAAAACATACCTCTTTGATTATTTTCAAGCTGTTTGGACAACTAAGGATGAATGGATTTCCCACGCTGAAGCTATTTTTAATCAGGATTTTCACAAATGAAGGCAAGAATAAATTGGAAATTGAGCTATGCAAACGAAAATCGGCTATACTGCTACAGACTTTGAGGGCTTCCAGAAAATCAATTTCCTTAAATGTTTGAGGGTTTTCAAAGGACAACTCAAGAGACCTTAGTGTTCCGGCGTGCGTTGCTATCCAATCGTACAGGTTAAGTTTCAGGACTAGGTATTTATTGCCCCAGAATTTAAGTCTTTTAAGCTTCGGAAAATATGGAATTTCAGTTGATATTTGAGAGTTGCAGATAGCAAGGCTCTCCAAATTAGTCAATTCCAAAACTGATTTATTTGTGAATGACAGATCAAAGTTGGAAATGTGCAACGACCGCAGATTTTTAATATGTGAGCATATTTTAAAAATATTAACGGGCATAGAATCCAGCTTAAGTGTTATGCTTAAAACTTCCAAGTGATTGAGGTGTTGTACCAGATCAACTGAAAAATTTAGAGATTATAGAGATTTATTGCAAATTCTTTACAAAACTTACTCTGCTCTCCATTCACTCCGTACAAAAGCAACTCGTTTAGTTGGGGTAGCTCCCTTATGGCATCCATTACTTCTATGGGGAGCTCAAATTTGTCCAAAACGTATAAATGAACCGACTTTAAACTTTTCCGTTTGCTTAATAGGGATGTGATCTTGTTAACATTTCGGCTGTGCACTTTGAGTTGAATACTTTCAATGTTTTGGCAATACTTCTCTATCAGAACTATGGGGACTTCAGAATGCTTACTAAATAACTCGTGTATTTGTACAATTTCGGAACCGCAAATGGGCAAAATCGTTGGCCAGAATTGGATTGGCAGTTTATAGGGATGAATCTTTTCGTATACTTTCTTGTTGTAGTAACAAAGTGCTTTGCTAAAATTGACGTGTACTTGACCGAAATTGATTTGGTCCTCAGTATTTAGTTTGTCAAGTATTAGATGAATAACATCTATTGGCAGGCGCGTGATTTCCGGTGGTGCTGTCATTTCGATTTATGATTGCCAACTGAAACTTGGAGCTGCAGCTAGAAATGAATTAATAATTTAATCAGCGCCAGATTGTTCTTCGAATCCATTAAAACTTTCGCGATTACAAACACATACATATTTTATTTAAATTTTTAGTCTTTTCAGTGCTGATAAGGATTTAATTGGAGGTACTTTTTGTAGCTATATATTCGTTTCTATAATACTGGAAAGATTTTGATTTTTTCTGCTCTTAACTACACAACTTGGATAAAATACCAAAATAACTGCAGCAGTTATATGCAATTCTACTTAAATCCAGGCGAGTGGGACGATCAGTTTTGTTGGATTCAGCGGTCCCCCAATTAATGTTTCTTATGTGGACCACGTCAGAATTCGGTATTCCCCATCTCTGTCAATACAAATTTTTCAATAAAATATAATTTTCTTTTTTAGATCCAAACTCACCGCCACATTCAGTTCCTCATAGTTTTTACAATCTAAATAGAAACAGTTTTCCACGGTTCTTCCATTTTTTAAAAGGACATGTATCAGAGGCGCCAGGAACAGGTTTGTAATTCGGTTGTGCAACCGGAATTCGGATAATTTTTTGCATTCTTTGAGAACTTCTAAGAAATCAATTTCTCTAAACTCTGAGTCCAAGGCACACCTCATTTCCAGAGCCTCGATCGTATTGGCGTGTCTCGAAATCCAATGGTACAGGCTTTGTTTTCGAGAAAAATATGAATTTCTCCAAAATGTTATTTTTTTAAGTTTTTTAAAATGAGGTAGCTCTGTTGATATGTTGCAAAAGCAAATGTCCAGTGTCTCCAAGTTAGGAAAGACCAAGTCTTGAGGATCAGTCTGGTTTAACGTGATGTTGAAGTTGGAAATGTATAAGGTTTGCAGTAGTTTGAGACGCGAACATATTTCGAAAATGTTGGTTGAATCATATTTCCGTTTTATGGAAAGGCTTAAAAATTGTAATCTCTCCAGGTCCTGTACATGGTGAACTGATAAAGATAGTTTATTGAAATTATAGTTTTTTGAAATATTTTCAATTTTTCTTACCTTGATTTTCCTCTAGTCCGTATAAAAGCAAATTATTTAGGTTGGGAAGTCTTTTCAAGGCACGCATAATTTTTTCCGTAAATCTACACTCACCGTAGAAATACAAGTGAACTGATCGGAGGGTTTTCCTATTTTTCAATAAGCTAGCTACGTCCCTAATGTTTCGATGGTTCACATTTAATTGAATGGATTCCAGATTAGAGCAATGTCTGTCGATTAGCTTTATGGGAACGTTGTCATTTGGTTCGAACAGCTCGTGTACTTTTAAAATTTTTTGCCCGGACAGAGGCATAATGGTGGACCAATATCTTACTGGCAGTATCCGAGGATCAATGTGCTCGTATTTTTTTTTGATATTTAAATTAAATGCTCCTTGTAGTTTTTTATGCGATTGGGCCAAGCTCAGTTTGTCGCAAAACTGTAATTCTTTAAATATTAGGTCAAGGACCTCAATCGGCAAATTGATAAGCGATGGAGCCTCCATTTTGTAATGGAGAGGCGCTATAATCGCGTCGAAAAAAATGTAACACTGGTGGCTTGTATTCTCAAGCATCCGTATTTATGTGATTTTTTATAAGCTCATTTTTCCTAAAACTAATCATTTCATATAACAATCAGACTTTGCTGGAATTTTATTTCTAATTTCCTCTGAAATCGCATCACTTCCAGTACTTGCCCTCTATATCAGTTCCTTATAAGTTTATAGATTTTTGGGAAATTAAGTAATATTTCACTCTTTTGAAAAACCCAATAAATTTGTTCACTAATAAAATAAAAACACTCATTTAAAAAATCCCGATCATCATGCCACTTCTTATCAATTTCTTCCATAAATAAAGGAATCACTTTATTAAAATTTTAGAGAATGTGTTTGCGTATTGTCATTTTTATAACGTCACAAAATACATATTTAGTCAAGAATTCCCATCCGTAAATTATAAGTTTTGACTTTGCGGCAACGAATACAATTTTATACTCTTTCTATGGAACATAAGAAACTTTTTCAAGTTTAAATTTTTGTCGAAAATGAGAGCAACATTCGTTATCTGAGAACGTAGAGCAATGGACTGTCAAATACATAAGCTCAATTTAGCTTATTAATATGTTTTTTTTTATGAAGCAATGAAGCTTCGAGCTGAAAGTGTGTGGCTTATCTTTTTCAAATAATTACACTATCTATTATAAGGCTGTAAACTTTATACTATATGGTAATTCGTGGAATGTAGAATTGATCTGATAAGATGTGAAATTAATCAATCAAATTAGTCGCTGATGAAATAAATTTTATATATATTGTATATGTGCTTACACAGCTATAGTATGGCGTTTTTTCCAAGAAATTTATTCATTCATTCATTCTATAATTTGAAGATGAAAGCGAGAAGACGCATGTGACCTTGACAAAGTGAAAGCTTAGATTGTGGATTCTTTAGAAAATGTATGTACCTTGAACAGCTAAGGCAAACAAAGAAACATATTCTTTGTTTAAATCATTAAATATTAACTAACTATATTGATATTATTAACTATATATTGGAAAGGGAAGCCCTCGACATTCGTCATATGTATATGTATGTAAATATGTAAGTAAGGGCTTTAGTCATACAAGTGGTGTGGGAACTTTTATCGCTGCAATCGCTAAACGTCATGGTTTGTGTTAAAGGCAATTTATTAATTATGCATAAATGACAAGGACCTGGTATGGGATTGTGGGATGGGGGGATCGAAAGGCGGAAAGTTCAAAAAGCAATCAAGTTCTGAGTGCCGACAGTTCTCAGCCGATTGTACAGTTATGCAAACAGAAGGACCGGACCGGATCGGGAGACTTTATAGCCTCACCTGAACTGAAGTTAAGCTGACAAAATGCACTTCAACTGGAATCACCTTAAATGGCAGACAACACACGTTCTTTTGGCTTATTGCGTTTTATGGTTTTTTCCCTTAGTTGGCAAAACTTTTCATCGGAAACCATTTGACTGGCTAATGTTTTCTTTTTTTTTATTTGCTCCCCACTTTAATTTGGGCGTCATAAATTATTATAAAGAAATACATAAATATATATGTATTTATATTTGAAAAGAAAAAGGAAAAAGAGTCTAGAATCCATTACTAGGTCTTCATTTACCTGCGGGACGAAGATCCTAAAAACTCAGTCGGTTCGATGCAATTCGAGGCCCAGAGGGACCCATGTGTTTTCAAGTGGCCCGGTCTATCAGTCTACCATTTTTCTTCCTTTTTTCTGATTCCCGGCTCCTTCGTAAAGTTTTAAATTTCTTGGAAATAAAAGCCTGGCCATTAGTTTTCGTCCTTCCCTTTTCTATCGCTCTACGGTCGACTGCCTCTTTTTTATTATTTCTTCAAAATGTTTTTTTTTGGATTCAGAAAGGCAAAATTTTGCAGCTACCTAAGCCTCCAAAAACCAGAGATAGCAAGTGCAGGTGAGATAGCAGCATGAGCAAGCGAGAGGGCAAAAAATCTAAGACCCCGTCATGGTTTGTAGTCTTCTAAATAGGAATACTCTTAATTGGTCCTTTTGAATTTATCATGGGGTTTGTAAACCTGTTCTATAAATAGTCTAGTAGAACCTAAAACTGATTTTTTGGTAAAAATATTGTGTGAATAAATGTGTAAAATATTATTTTAATATATTTTATTCAAAAGCCCTAATATCCTAATATTCCCTAATATTCAAATGAAAGTATGGGGTTTGTGGATCTACTCCATAAATAGTCTTTTGTAGCCTAGAACAGAATTTTTTATTTTGAAAAAATATGTTCAGAAGAAAATATATAGTATAAATAATAGCTATATATACATATATAATAATTTAATAATATATTCAATAAAGAGTTGAAAAAATATTACCATAATATCCATAATATAAAAATATTATCATATTACCATTTTTTCATAAAAATTCTCCTATTGTCTAATCTAGAATTTCTCATGGCTCAAAGCTGTTGTAAAAAATACTATAAAAAGTATAATAAACACTTTAAATATTTTATTTATATTTTAAATTAAGAGTATTTGAAATCCTACCAAATCTACATATTCTTCTCCCCCAATCTTCCGCGTTATCTGCGCCGTCTACTCTCGGCCTGTGTCCGTGCGTTTATTTAATTTTTTATTCGGGCTCACTTGTCCCTCATACACCGTGTTTTACCATAGTTGTTGTATTTTGTTTTTTTTATTGGTTGTTGTTGTTGTTGTTGCTGCTGCAATAGCTGCGATACGAGACCGTGCAGGTGTCCAATATTTTCTTTTATACCGCGTCATCGGGCCAAAAGAAAGAGAGGGAATATATCGGAGGGGGAATGAAAACCAAAAACTAGTTCTAGATTTTCAGCCCCTCCCCCTGGCTTTATTTCGCCCATATTCGATTCGATTGCGTATAACAAGTTTAGCTGTCTGGCCCACCCCCTCGATCCCCACTACCCCGATCCACGATCCCCGATCGAACCGTTCTTCGACTTTGGAATAAAGTGCTTTGCATCCATGCAACGTCGTCCCTGCCCCATACCCATGCCCCAATCTCCCACACCTAATACCTTTCCTCTTCATATATTCTTGTTCGTTTTTAAATTTTCAGATTACATTTAAACAAAAAACTTATACCAGAATATTTAAAATATAATTTTTAATAAAAATTTCATTTAAAAACTCTAAATAATAAATTCCTTCTATTTTCCTTAAAACTGTATGTTTTTTAATATTCCTGAAATTATGTTTTTAAGTGTAATTTTGATTAATATTTTACACATGTTGGATTTGGGGTTTTTAGTGGCCCCATGTGGAGTGCCCCCTCTCTTTAATATTTCCCCCCGCTGCCTGGTAATTACCCAAATTTGGCGTCACTTGCCGTTAAAGGTTTTAGAAGTTGGCTAGAAAAGGGGCATAGACAGAAACGGTAAAGTGGAATTAAGGTTTATTTATGGAGCTGTCCTAACGATAACTTAAAAGGTTCGATTGATGATGGAGGGCTGGGATTAGGTTGCCCAAATAATATCTATCAAAATTTATTGGTGTTACAAACAAATAAAGGGATTAGGTTCATATTGCAGACCAAGAACTCATGCCAAATGATCTTCATGCCAGATCTCAACGTCCTTCCAGAGTACATGGCTTCCGAAGACCTCCTCCGCTTGGTGATCCTCTTCCAGATATCGCTCAAAAGGATAACCCAATGGCAGCTCATCCCATCGACTGATTCCTTTGGTGATATCACAATTCAATTCGTTTCCTTGCTGGGCTTTAAAGTCATAACTGGTGGCCACGATAAATAGACGCATTTTTAAGGGATTTCCTAGACCCCCGCGTGGTAAAATCAACCGCCTGGGAAATCCACAATTCGCAGTAGATATATTCAAGGGAAAGTCGAACTCCTCGTTTTGCGCCAATTTCACAAACTGATTTAGTTCTGTTAATGAAATGTGATCGCCCACGAAACCCTTGAAATCCAGAGAATTTCTTGTAATCCGATTGTCACCCTGGTAGATCATTGTCAGAAAAGAATCTAGAAGATAGAAAGGCTGCCGGTTGATAGATTTACCTTCCGGTATAGTTAGGTATATCTTAAATATAGTTGATTTGGTAATGTTGCTTGAGACTTGAAGGGTATAGCTGAAGTCCTTCTGCTGAAGTCGAAACTGCCGCTGTTGGAGGGTGAAAGGCCACAGAAACTGGCCTCCAAAGTGAAAGTGTCTGGTGTGCAGAAGATTACTGAGATCTATATCCACAGGCTGATCAAAGGTAATCAATGGACTAACTTTTACATCATTTATTTTGAGATTGGTTGGTATAAAACTCCTCTCGGTGGATGGTTGAAAATGCTCATTATAACAACGATATAGTTGCAGTAATCGATCGGCGTAATAGTAAAAGTTTTCTGATCTTAACGCAGTCCGTAGATCCAATAGAAGTTGAGGTTGGTTTGCTGTATCCATTTGAAACTGTGTCCATTCATAGGGAAAGAGTTCCTTCAGCCCAATGAGCCAATTATTATTTATTGACAAATCAATAAAAGTTCCATTTTTCAAAAGAAGACTTTGTGAGGTAATGGCCTCGTTTACCATTGACTCTAACCTTTCCAGATAATCGTTTATGTCGTTTGTTGTTTTTTGATTTTCAGGGGAAAATCTTAAATTCTGCCAGGATATAAGCTGAGAGTTTCTTTCATCCTTTATGAATTGTAACCTTTCGTAGGACATCTTCTGGCCATACCGTTCAAGTTTGTAACGTGCTAGAATCTGGCCCAATTGGTAGTACCACCATTCCTGAAATTGGTCTGATTTATCTTCAACTAGGTTAATGCCTGTATTAAGATAATACCAATAAGCCAGCCAGTCAACATCCTCAACTAGATATCCAAGTTTATTTCCACTTGGCCTTTGTTTCATTCTAAAAATAGTTACACCGGCCATGGCTTTGAGCCATTCTGGGGTATTTCTTAAATCCCCATCCACTTCAAGGGGTTCCATTTCTAGAGGATGCACTTCCTTAAAATCTGTCATGTTTCCTTCCCTTATCCAGTTGGCAAAATTAAAATTTCTAGCCTCTCTTACAGTCTGCATATCGAGAAAGGACTCTGGCCATAGTTCATAAATCTTGGGCATTATCAGGGGCTGATAGTCGTCCCTTTTCAGAAGGACCTGTGTCAGAGCCTGTACAAAAAGGCCAGGGTTCATGTGCAAGCGAGCCCAACAGATATTTTGCCACAAAGTATACCAATCCCTGGTGTTGTAGAAAAAATTGTAAAGCCCCAGAGTCTGCTGGTAGTGATCCTCATAGAGAGGGTTGTAGTAGGCTTTCTGATCCAATAACTTTCCCATACTGAATGCCTCCAAAAATGCAGTCATGCGATCGTTAAAAATCTAAAAAATAATACATGTATAATTTACATTTATTTGTTATTACAATGTGTATATACCACATATTGATCTTTGTCAGTAACCAACTGTTCACCCAACAATCGCCATTGGTCGTTCATGAGAGGTTCGTGGACATGGTGCAGAATTTCTATCAAAAATTGCTCCTTTTCGAGATAGTAGCGATTACCTTAAAGTGGGTGATTAAATCAATGTATAGCTTGAAGCAAGGCTTTATAAGTTTACCTATCCCTCCGCCTAAAATTTGCAACCAAAAAGTTGGAGCTAAAAATATTAATAAACCAAAAAATCGCATGACACTTGTTTACCACACACGAATTAAAAATATACTGAGTTTCGCCAAAAGAATTTTATTTTGATAAGCTATATTTAAATTTATATTTATATATACCTATATTTCTATAGGTGCGAACTTCATTATCTCTAGCCTTACAATATACAGTAGAACAAACAAAAAAAGAGCGTAGTTTTGATACTTGATTTTAAGGGGAATTCCCTTAAAAAATTTTTTTTCTTATTAAAAACAAATCTAAATTTTTCCTAAATGAGTATTATTTGTTTCCCTTGGATGGGGAAATCCTCTCATATAATATATGGGGTTTATTACAAAGACAACCGTTTCACACGAAATTTCTTTTTTGACTTGTCATGTGATAAGACTTGTGATATGGTATTATAAAAACAAGAAAGGAATGCTAACTTCGGGCGGAGCCGAAGTTTATATACCCTTGCAGTTAAAACCGGATATATATCGCAAACATCGGATATAGTTGGCCGATCCTTATGGGAATAGGAATATATAATCCAATTTATTACAATACAAAATCTAAAAAAAGTCCCAAACTTCTATCTTCAAAAATACGAAAGTTGATATTTCTACCAAATACCATTTCCGATCGTTCAGTTATATGGCAGCTATAGGATATAGTCGGCCGATCCTAATGAAATTTGGTAGGTCGGATTAACTGACCAAAAATATAATCTGTACCAAGTTCCAGCTTTCTATCTTCAAAAACATGAAAGTTGGGTCATTTCCGATCGTTCAGTTATATGGCAGCTATAGGATATAGTCGGCCGATCCTTACGAAATTTGGCATGTCGTATTATTTTGCCAAAAATAGCTCTCATGTCAAATTTGAACTCTCTAACTCTAAAAACACCAAAGTTATACCATTTCCGATCAATCAGTTATATGGCAGCTATATGATATAGTCGGCCGATCCGGGCCGTTCCGACTTATATACTGCGTGCAAAGGAAAGAAGGGTGTATGCAAAGTTTCAAGTCGATAGCTTTAAAACTGAGAGACTAGTTCGCGTAGAAACAGACAGACAGACAGACGGACAGACGGACAGACGGACAGACGGACATGCTCATATCAACTCAGGAGGTGATCCTGATCAAGAATATATATACTTTATAGGGTCGGAGATGTCTCCTTCACTGCGTTGCACACTTTTGGACAAAATTATAATACCCTCTGCAAGGGTATAATTAAACGCATATTAGATCATCTTTAAAGAATGTTAGATGAGAATAACCTTATCTTAATATGCAAATATAAATAAACGATAGAAAATGTTACTTCCGTTTTAATGTTTACTTTAATTGCCAATTACTGGGTTATAAGGAATTAACGCAAGTCTCATTTGCCTATTAGTCACCCAAAAGTGGCACAATAATGCAAAGCGATTGTTTTTTTTTTTTATGGCAACTTGTTGGTTATAGTCACCGACACGCCCCCCTCCGACCCGACGCCCACCGGCGATCGCTTCCAGCTCCTGTTGCGAAAATTTGCGGACATTAAATTGCCAACTCAGTCGGTTTCTGGTGATTTCTGAATGCCCGATGTCGGCTTGATGACTGGATGGCGGAAAAAAGGGCAAATTATAATGCGAGAAATGTTAATTACAGTCGGCTCGTATCGTCCCGTCTCAGTATCTGGCCCATTGTTCGTCCAGAAATTGGCGCATTAATGTAAATCGTCAGCCAGGCATGACGGATTATAGGAACACAGACCTAGTCCCAGTCCAGGGCGGCCAAGTAAATTAACGTCCAGTTACGCTGGCATTATACGATTTTGAGTACATATATGTATGTTGCACAAAGCTCTTTGTTTCCGAGTTTCCCGGGTGACAAAACGTTGGGCCCGAAGAACTTAATGAATTGGAACCGTATCGAAACGAAGCAACAAGGCACCCGATAGACGTACCACCCGGTAACTACCCGCTGATTAATTCCCATTGACAATAGAGAGAAGGTCTGTGGAGCTGATAAGCCTGTTTGGACCGTTACTGGTTGTGCGATGCTATTGCTGCCTCATGAAAACTGATTACCGAATTCCAAATCCAACAAAACGTGACAAGCGGATGGAGAATATTGTCTAATCATTGTCACAGTAGAACATCTTATAGATCACTGACAAAAAATTAGGAGCATTTGTAGGCCTTGCCTTCATCTATTATTTTTCTTAAGAAATATAAAATATTTTCAGTGTAAAGCAGTGTCTATGAGTCCCTTCGCACGTGCATTAGCACCCCGGGGTGCCATGCGATTCTGGATTCCGGATTGTCTTCGATCATGAGTGCTTTGCATAATATTAGCAAAAGATCTGAGATCGGGGATCGTATTGCTGCATCTTGGCGCAGAATTTCCATGGGCTTGCCATCATCATCAAATTGCCATAAATCGTCGCATCCGAGAACCCTCCGGGGCCTTCAGTACGCTCCTTTCAAATGTCATCACTGTGTTTTTCTTCTTTTCCCTGATCCTTGGCCCCGGGAGGCTTATGAAATGCAAATTACATTTCAATAGTGCGCTTCAATGGCTCTCCCCTATAACCCTCGACTCGCCTACTTTGTTCTTTGTCATCGGCCAGATGATTGCCCCCTTTTAGCGCATTGGAATCGTATTTAAAAAGTCATTATCGGGTGGATCGAGAACCCCCTTCCAACTTTTTTTTTTTTTAGCGCATCAATCATTGCGCCTTTTGTCAACCTTCGTTTTTTTTTCCCTAGTTGGGTCATAAAACGGTTGGAAAGTGACGATCTTAGTTATTATGCGTGTGATTGGGAGGTTAGAACGAATAAATACTTGAAACTAGAGTTCGGGAATAGCTGCTGGATAAAAATTATAATAGAGAAAACTTCTCTCCAATGAAATGACTCACTTGTGGGCACTGCAGTTATTTCTAAAAGTTCTAATGGATGAGAACGACAACAATTACCATATTTTCGACACCTTGAGGATGTTACACAACCCCATTTAACCTTCTGAAGCCTATTTTCAACTATTTTCACTCACTCAGCTATCTGCCACAACCTCCATAAGCTGCTTATTTATTGCCACTTTTTTTCGTGTAAATATTTTAGGTCTGACGCACACTTTGGTGGCTTTTTGGAATGGCATGTGGACCTCCGACGATCGTCAATGGCAAAATGTGTAACCGAGCAGAAATGAATCATCGGCGGCCCAGGGTCCAAGACTAAACCCCAAAAAAAGTAATGCCAACCCAGACGGCTGGGCCCCAATCGGTAGTCGGCTGTTTTTTTAATAAGGCAGGCGACAAACAAAAAAATAAAATTGGGTCACCAGAGATAAAAGCGCGTAAGTGTTGCTTAAACATGCACTTTACAAAACGAATAAAATTAATAAATTCATTTTTAAAACAGAGTCAAGAGATTATGATATCCACTTAAGGTTTCTAACTAGATTATAATTGAAGGGTTTGTACATAATTATCACTTACTTAAAACACATTTTTTTAAGTGGAACATAAATGGAACCAATTTCGGGAGTTATTCCTGTCCGAAATATAATACACCCCTTTTGGAAAGGGGAGAGAAAGGATCCTGGAACAATGGCCGGGCTTTCATGCGAACTGTCAACTTGTCATGACAATTAACCAAGTCGATGGCTATCTGGCTATCTATCGCAGCGACGAGGAAACCCAGGAAACGCCCACGCATGCCAGTCGTCTTAAGCGTTAAACAAATTAAGTATCCGTCGGGTGGAAATGGTAGTGGGAGAAAGGGGGAATTATTATTGAAATACGACACCCACCGAGTGGATCGGAGTGGATGCATCAGGTAGAGGCGATGACCCAATTCGCTCTGCACTTGCGCGACAATTTCGGTAAACACATAAGAACCCTGGAGTGACCCCAGCCCCACCGTCGGTATACCCCTTGACGCTTTATTTTCATTATTTTTTTTTCGTCAGCTCCAATATTTGTTTACCATTTAGTTTATTATGCTGTGTGCGCTTTGGTTCTGACTGGTTGTTTGATTGCCCTTATTGGACATCGGTGGTGGTGTTGTGGTGATTTTCAATTCAAGTTATGATTATTATATGTTGGGAAAGTCAAATAACGGTCGGCCAAGGCATATGAGGCATTCAAAGACGCACAATTGTCGGTGATAATTTCCATTTGATGAGTTTTCAATTGGGCTCACCAATGGGTTTTTTGATCTTTTCCCCATTCGACTCCCGAGGTGTTGGGAAGTTTGTTAATACGCCAATCGGTTAACAAATATCATACATAAGTTCACCTTTTTTGTTGACATCTATGAGAACAGGGTCTGGAGTATAGCTTAATTGATGTGATATGTTCATGGGAATGAGAATTTCGATATTAAGTGCGAACATTCGTTTAAATGTGAGGGTTATTCAAATGCAACTATTGACAACCAATATACCTCGAAAAGGTGATTCTTTCTTTCAACTTAAAAATTCATATTTTGTTCTCCTTCCAGAGACTCCATGACACAGTTTACCTTAACGAGTTGAAGAAAGCGCCAAATCATCGCGAGGATTAACACCAATCGTCGGAATCAGAATCACTGCGGATATCATCGGCCCACCTGAAAAGTTCCCATCGCTTTACGTGATTTGTTCTGTGTCAGTTACCATTTCTGCCTGTGACAAATTTACGGCGAGTGACTTTCGTAAATTGCATTTTAATAATTTTGTGGAAATGCTTAATCACGAGAAACGGTTGAATGAGGACATAAATAAACGATCGCGATGAAGGTAAATCCACATTTGGGAATCTTCGATTTGTTTTATTATCTTAAAAGATACTACTGATGAAAATTTTTAATATATGTAAATGGCGCATATTCTTTCACCCGATTTCTTGTCTTTGCAAAAATCCTACTCATGTCTCCCTGCAGTCTGCCATGGCAGATATCTAAAAATAACAAACAAAAATGAGATAAAATACTGTAAACAAAATTGTTATTTCCCTTTTGTTGGGGAGAATTCTTTGCGTTTATAAATACAACTGCCGTACGATTGTCAAAGTTGACAATTTATTTTTAATCAGGCAAAAACTGAGAAACGACGCATATCTGCCAGATACACTCAGCCCCTCAGCATATCTGGCAGATACATTTCAAGAGGGGATGAGCACTTGATTAAAGAAAACATCCAAAGGGGTAGATCACTTTGCAAAGGAATTTGTTTGTGCAGATTTTTGTTTATTTTGTTGCAAATGTTTTACTATATAGAGGCTTAAAATTAGATAGTTGAAGATTTTCAATCCTTGTACTTATTCCCACTATTAAATCTTAAGATTAGCTCTCCCATGCGTACCAAGCCCTGAGCTAACCCATTTAGGAGTTGATCGCACTGACCCAGAAGTTGTTCCCAGCCAAGCGAATCGCTTGCCCTGGAGAACCACTGACCATCCCCACCAGATCCCATCCCGTAGGCGGCCCTTTGATCCCCCTTCAGGAGACAGAAAGAGAGAGAGTGTCAAAGAGGTTGGGCACTTACTGGAGCATAAATGAGACGCGGATCCGAGATTTCGCTTTCGTTTTGCGGATCGATTTCTGTGGAGGAAGGCGGGCGATTGCACAGTGACTCTGTCTAACCGAGGATCACGTGTTTTTGTTTTTTTTTCATTTTTTTGATCAACATTGAAGAACAATTACAGTAATTCCAATTAATACACGGCACTGGCTCGGCTTCCTTTGGCCAGTATCTCGCAGATGTGGCGCGTGCTGCATGCCAGCCCAGTATCTGTATCTGTATCCAGATAGTCGCCCATCGAGCTGCACTTATTATTGTCCATCTATTTGTCTTTGATCAATCTCGGCTCCAGTTGCAGTTGAAGTTGCAGTTGTGGCAGCAACCAGTAGCTGAAACTCTCGGACCCGCAATTATAAATGACTGAGCCAGCTTGGAGAGCTGGCCACTATAATTGCCCCTAAGGGGAAATCAGCAGCAGTAACTAACAACTTTGTATCTGCAACATGGACACGCTAACTGCCTCACCAGTTGCAGCTCCAGAGACAGTCGAAATAGATACGGGGCGTTCTATGACTTTTATCGCACAATTCTAACTAACTGCAGGCTATGTTCTGATGAGGGTAATCCAAGTGGTCCAGGCATCTGCAGATTGGGTTGCATCGCTCATATTCAAAATTAACCAACGATCTACATAACTGTTCTCCTTTCTATTCCATACTCTTGCTGAGGGTACTATACAATTCTCCAAAGGTGTGCAACGCATTAAAGGGGCCACCTCCAATCTTATAAAGAATACAAGTAATTTTCTCATCAATACTCCGGTAAGGGGTTTGTATGTATATATTTACTAATACTCAACCAACTTTTGAGAGCAATACCTTTTAAGTTCAATATATCGATTCTCTTATCAAATTTTCATCAAAACATGAGAGCATAATATTATTTCAATATTTTCCCAAATTTAATATGCCTTTCAAAAAAATGCGAGTAGTTATGGTGGTAAAATTCATCAGATTGTTGAGCATAATACCTTTCACGTTTTGTAGATCTATGTATTTTCCATAAATCTGCTTCAGAATCTGAACATAAATATTTTTTTTTTAGTTTTTGCCGATGTTTTGGAGGTTCCATGGATCTTGATTGATAATATGGTAACTTGAACAAAAAAGTGATACTAATACAATAAATCAGAAATTTTGGACCATGGAGAGTCCATGGAGGGTCTTAATTGATAAGAACTTGAACAAAATAGTGATATAATGAAATAAATAAATCTGAAATTTAAAAAAATTTATCTTGTAATACAGCCCCTCTAAGATCCTGTGTAAAAAATGAATGAAAAAACAAAGTTTCAGAGAAAAACAAGGAAGAAATCTGAACATAAATATTTTTTTGTTTAGTTTTTGCCGATGTTTTTGGAGATTCCATGGATCTTGATTGATAATGTGGTAACTTGAACAAAATAGTGATACTAATAAAATAAATCAGAAATGTTGGACTCTTTGTCGTAGTTTCATGAGGGTCCATGGAGGGTCTTAATTGATAAGAACTTGAACAAAATAGTGATATAAATGAAATAAATAAATCAGAAATTTTTAAAAAATGTATCTTGCAATACAGAACCTTTAAGATCCTATGTAAAAAATGAATGAAAAAACCGAAAATTTCAGCGTAACAAAGAAGAAATCTGAACATAAATATTTTTTTTTAGTTTTTGCCGATGTTTTTGGAGGGTCCATGGATCTTGATTGATTATAACTTGAACAAAATAGTGGTACTAATAAAATAAATCAGAAAACTTGGACTCATTTTCCTTGTAGGGGTAGGGTCCATGGAGAGTCTTAATTGATAAGAACTTGAACAAAATAGTGATATAAGTAAAATAAATAAATCAGAAATTTTTAAAAAATGTATCTTGCAATACAGAACCTTTAAGATCCTATGTAAAAAATGAATGAAAAAACCGAAAATTTCAGCGTAACAAAGAAGAAATCTGAACATAAATATTTTTTTTTAGTTTTTGCCGATGTTTTTGGAGGGTCCATGGATCTTGATTGATTATAACTTGAACAAAATAGTGGTACTAATAAAATAAATCAGAAAACTTGGACTCATTTTCCTTGTAGGGGGAGGGTCCATGGAGAGTCTTAATTGATAAGAACTTGAACAAAATAGTGATATAAGTAAAATAAATAAATCAGACATTTTAAAAAATATATCTTGTAATACAGAACCTTTAAGATCCTGTGTAAAAAAATAAAAAAAAACCCAAAATTTCTTCGTAACAAAGAAGAAATCTGAACATAAATTTTTTTTTGAGTTTTTGCCGTTGTTTTTGGAGGGTCCATGGATCTTGATTGATTATAACTTGAACAAAATAGTGGTACTAATAAAATAAATCAGAAAACTTGGACTCATTTTCCTTGTAGGGGGAGGGTCCATGGAGAGTCTTAATTGATAAGAACTTGAACAAAATAGTGATATAAGTAAAATAAATAAATCAGAAATTTTTAAAAAATGTATCTTGTAATACAGAACCTTCAAGATCCTATGTAAAAAATGAATGAAAAAACCGAAAATTTCAGCGTAACAAAGAAGAAATCTGAACATAAATATTTTTTTTTAGTTTTTGCCGATGTTTTTGCAGGGTCCATGGATCTTGACTGATTATAACTTGAACAAAATAGTGGTACTAATAAAATAAATCAGAAAACTTGGACTCTTGTTCCTTGTCGGAGGAGGGTCCATGGAGAGTGTTAATTGATAAGAACTTGAACAAAATAGTGATATAAGTAAAATAAATAAATCAGACATTTTTAAAAAATGTATCTTGTAATACAGAACCTTTAAGATCCTATGTAAAAAAATGAATGAAAAAACCGAAAATTTCAGCTTAATGAAGTAGAAATCTGAACAAATATTTGTTTTATATTTATAATTTTTTTTACAATATATAAAATATAAATGAAAAATGGAAAAATAAATCAGAGATGTGACTTTTATTGTTTAACAGATATTAAAAAAATAAAAATAATTAGCAGAGCAGATAAAGAAGGAAATCGAGATACTTCGATCGCTAGAGATTGCTCCGGAACAGAACTGGAACACAATAGTGATATAAATAAAATAAATAAATCAGGAGCAGAATCTGAGAATTTGACATAGTCACTCGAGATACCCAAGTGTTCAAAACTACAGCTTGTGTTCATAAAATATATGTGTTCATAAAAAAATTAAAACATAAAAAAAAAGTAAACACAAAAAAGTCAACAGTTTTCATAAAAATGTAGCTCCATTTGGCTTTGGAGCTATAGTCGCACCGGTTAACAGACCTAAACGTGTAGTCTCCAGGACTGGAGCTTACCAAAGTCGAATTAGATTTATAACACAGAACTTGAACAAAATGGTGATACAAAAAAAAAAAAAATTAATCTGGAGCAGAATAGGATGATCTAACAGTCGAGCAATTGATTACCAAATGTTTAAACCTAAGGATTTTCTGGAGAATTCAGAAAATATCGTTGAAAATTTTATTAGTTAAAATTAGCTCTATTTGGCTTTGGAGCTAAAGTCGTACTGGTAAAAAGAACAAAATAGTGATAAAAAAAAAAAAATAAATCAGGAGCAGAATTGCAGAATTTGGTAATGGAAATTTCGCTCTGGAGTTGCAGAACCCAAGCGATTAAAGCTTAAACACAAAAAAAAGAAAAAGTTTTAAATAAAAATAAAAATAAATAAAAATTTAGCTCCATTAGGCTTGGGAGCTGAAGTCGTACTGATAAAAAGACCTACATGAACCTGGTCTATAATTGCAGGTTTCCAAAGCCTACTTGGCTTTATAACATTTCATTATTTTTCTTTGGGTCACACTGCAAAGGGTAATTCGATTTATTTTCGATGAATATATCGATGTAATACAAATTAAAACTTTTCTTATAGTTCCTAAATATAGATTTACCTTGTTAGAAATTTTCTGTAGCCTTTTCAGTACCTTGTTAGAGTTTTTTTTATATTTTGTACCTTTTCTGAAGGATCCCCTTCAGAATTCTACAAAATCCATGCAGATGTTATATGCCCACCGTGAAAGCTATATCTTTGGTAATAGCTATCCGATTGTTGAGCGAAAGTTTTGTAAATCGATTTACCAATCGGCATCAAAACCTTATCCAGAAGACCATAATTTTTTAGATTTTGCAAAATTTTCTGGAGGGTCTCTTTCAAAAATCTTCCTACAAAACACTACTGCACTACTAAAAATCAATGCAAACGGCCAAACCGATCGATCCCAGTTAAATATGGGTTGCGCTCTTGGCCTCGAATCGGGTTTGGGCTTGGGTATTGGAGATGGGCATGGCCCCCTCATACGCAGTCCTCAGTCGTCGGCCCTTTCCCCGCTGTTTTGGGCAAGCTCAGGCATATAATTTCGTTGACGCGCAGAATAAATGATAAATGCAATCATTATAAGAAACACAGCCACAGAAGAGCAACGAAAACTTTGCGAACACGAACGCATGATTAAAACTTTGCCAAAGACGTGGTAAGGGGCCAGGAGCGGTGGGATGATGGGTTTCTGGATCCGTGATGGGGTCCAGCAGTGTTGATGCAGAGCTTAAGATACATGCTACACAGAAAGGAAAATTGTATAATACTTTTATGAGGTGATATAGAGAGTATTAGTTTCCTATAAATTAAGGAAGATTTTATTTTTTATATTTTTCATATTAGAAAAATATTATTTTTATTGAAAACTATATTTTTTTCAGTGCAGCGACCGAGTCCGATCCAATGCGTGTGCCTACCCCTGCCCCTTGCAGTTCGATCGTGATACGCTGACCGAGTGCAGCGCGAATGTTTTATGACCAGACCCAACCGGGCCGGGCATAATTTGTTAGCCTGGCCAAGAGGATGCTGAATCCGAATCTGGATCTGGACCCTGGCTGGCTGCCGGGCCC